ATTCTCATGCTTCTGGATTAACTACTCTGAAAGCATCTTTGAATTCTTGTCTTTCTAGCCATCCTATAAAGGGATCAGGTTTAGAATATTTCTTTTTCTTAGGTTCTGTTTGTCTGTCTAAGTTGATGTCTGCTACACTGTTAAAGTTCCCCATTATGACCAACTGAGTTCTTGGGCATCTTTTAATGTATTTGTCAATTATCACTTTATGGACCTCTTTTCTGCTTTCTTTATCATTTGGTGGCAGGTATACTATAATAGTTATGATTTCTAACTGCTTAAACATAAAAATTGCTGAAATCATATATTCATTAGTTCTTTCTATTCTTTCCAAATGCTTCTCCCAATGTTTGCTGATTAGTAGGCCTACATCTGAGCTCTTCTTCTTTTCTGTTTTAGCATTGGTCCAAAAGCTCTTGTAGTTCTCTATATTTTTAGTTAGGAAAAAGCTTTCTTTGCCTGAAATGTTTGTTTCGGCCAGACCTAGTACATCTATCTTATTGTCTGTTAGCCAGTCCTGAAGTTGTTCCATTTTTTGGCTATTTGCTTTTAGACCATTGATGTTGTGTGTTGCCACACTTAGCTCTATTCTTTGGTTTTCATAAATTCTTTCTCTCTTTATCTTGTTGTTATGTATATGCTGACTTTTCGATGTTTCATTTGCAATTACTGCTTGTTTACCCTTTTTGTTAAGGGTTCCTATTGGCTCCTTTTCGTCTTTAATTTTTTTGTATAAATATAGAGATTCTTCTTGTAATTGATCTGCATTCTTTTTTTCTTTTTGCGAAGAGGAGCCTATCTCTATATTTATTGTTGTTAGCTCAACTTTGGCCCCTTTTAGAAGTGATTTGCAAACCTATAGCTTGCAAATCTAATTCCTTGCTGTACTTCCAACTTATCCAATCTATTCAGAATTCTTAGAAGTATCTCATCTGATACTGATTTCTTGTTAACTACTCATTCTATATTGACTTTCTTCTTTTGTTTCCTTTTTTGAGTCTTATTTTTGTCTTTATTTTGGTATTCGTAGTTCATTTCTTGGATAATGTCTTCTATATTATCTTCTTCCAGTTGAGTGACCTTTTCTTTCTCTTCTTTCGCTACCCTTTCTCTTGGTTCATATCCATTCCAGAACAGTGTATGATTGTTGTAGCTAAATGGTTTGGATCTTGCTCTTTTGAGCTCTTCTTGGCTCTTGAATGTAATTATTGCATATCCTCTTGGGTTTCCATTTCTATTCATCGGTACGAAAACTGACTTTGCCCCTTTGTTTCTAAGCAATTGCAGCAATAACACTTCTGAAGCTTCTTTTGACACTTCTTTGAGTTTTGCCTTAAATCAGCTGTTCTCTTCTTTCAGCTCTGAATCTTCATCACCTGGAGTTATGCATGCCAATTTATCATTGCTATAGGACAGAACCCATGGCATGTTTTGGTGCTATTTGCTTGTAGTTTCTATTACTGCCAATGCCTTGAATCGTGTTTTCTTGATTTTGACTATTTGCACCTCTTTAAATTTTCTGCACATGTTATAAATTTCTTTGTGCTTAATGTCCGTAGGTAAGTCCCAAATAGTTACATAGTTTGAATCTTCTTCTCTTCTTTTTTCCTTGATGTACGGATTAGATGTCTTTGATTTCTCTGTTAAAAATTGTTGGAATTCCTCTTCTCGTAGTTTAAGCGCAATTCTTCTATCTGTTTTTAACTTGAAATCATCAGACTTGTGTCCTTTTGGCAATCTATAAACCTGTATTCTTCTTCTATTTCTGTCCTCTTCTGGAATGAGTTTACACCACTCTCCTTCTTTTTCTATTACCCACTTGCTTAGAGTTTCTCTACTAAATTCGCAATCAAAGTCGATTACTATCCAACTGTTTCCATTAATAAAATCTTCTTCAACAGACTTGATGTGGTTATTGTCTCTAAAAACCTATTTCATATAATTAACTCTATATTCTTTATTGTCTCCTGGCACCTTGCATGAGGAGATTTTCACCTTGAACGAGTTTTTTCTGTTACATGGTCTGTTTTTAGGAGCCCAAACACTATCCTCCAATGATACTTTAGGCTGAACAATGTTTGGAATTTCCTTCTGTATGTTGCTAGAGGTTGAGAATATTTCCTCATCAGATGACTCTTGGCTCTTTTTTAGTTTTTTCCCCTTGGATTCTGATTCGATGTTCTCGTTTGTGACTTCTTCCCAGTTTGGATCTTCTATAATTGGGTCTTGCTTACTTGAGCCTGCTTCTGCATTTGGGACTTTTACATATGTGGAAACTGTCTGCTGCCCCTTCTCTTTATTTTTGAGTGATGCTTCTTCTTGCCTTCTCTTTTTTGGCTCTGTAACTTGCAGTTCTGCATCTGTGCTTCTATTTATGACACCTTTCATTTTGTTTTCTTCATCCACTTTCATTTTGTCAATACTTGTTAAATACTCGATTGATCCTGGGTTTTGTTGTGACATTCTTGCTTTAGTTGCCCATTCTTCTATGAGAGTCTTCTTAGACTCATGTTGTTTAAGCACTTCAGCAATTTGCATACAAACAATTATTTCTTCTTTGGTAATTCTTTCTGGATTGCTATCTGCTAGACCAATCGCAATTTGCTTAACATTATTTGGCTCACGAGAAATTACATTTTCTAGTGTTTTAACTAGAATACTACTACTCAGATACTGGAGAATCTTCTCTCCTGTTCTACGTACATAACTTAATAAACTCTGCTTGTATGATTCTTGCATCTAAAAAATTCTATTATACACGTGATTTGTATCTGTTTGGCTTGTTTTGTTTACGCATTTGTATTACTCTTACTAGATCTGTTATTGGTTTAATTCCCAAAAAGGCACGTAACTTGTTTGTTTATTTTGTTTACATTGTTGTTATTGTTGTTGTTTGGTCATGTGTTCTGATCTTCTAAATTTTCAGGGTCAAGGCCAATTCCCAGTTTTCCAAAATTTTCATCAAAATTTTTTCTTCGTGAACTAAAGTTGCCTTGCCTAAGCTTTTTTAAACAAAGTTGTTTTAAGTAACTCTGAATAATTTCCTTAGTTGCAACTTTTTTATTAATCGTGCAAAGTAAGTTTCTTTTACTAAAATTCAGGTTTCTGTAAGATTTTTGTTTTTTGCCGATTTTGGTAAATAGAATCAGTGGAGAGAGTGTGCTTTATAAGTTTTTTCAACTCTGTATTTTATTATATTAGTTATTAGTTATTAATTATAGTATATAACAATAGTTAGAAAAGATTTTTATTAGCCAATAGAACTGTAATACAACTATCTAATATTGAATAATATCTATAATATTACTATTGTTTATAATCTTCAAGTACTTTTGCACAGATTTTTAAGTATTCTTACACAAAAGCATCATGTTATAAACTTTAGATATTATATCACAAACATTCTTAGTATCTCCAATACAAGCTTCAAGTATTTTAAATACAGATAGCAAACAGATTTTTTGTTATCTTCATATGAATTACAAATAGCTGTAAACATTGTCTCAACTATTTTTATGAGTTACAAATAATATAAACATTATTTTAGCTATTCTTGTCAAAAACCCGAAATTAAAATTTGAAGACAAAATTGTTTTGACCTACTTTTACTTAAAAGACAAAATTTTTTGATGCTTTTTTTGAATAGATGAAATTATAAGGAACATAACTATATAAATTTTATTTGCTATTTCTTATAAAAAATTTCAAATTGCTCTAATAAAGATGAAATAGATCTTTTTTCAAAATCAATTTTGTCAGCATATATATTCTGAATACAGTATTTTATAATGTTGCTCAAATTTTTACTACTCTTATTGGGTAAAAAGATATATAAAAAGTATTTTTCCTCTTTTTAACCAATTCTAGTTCCTATATTTTGATTTAGATACTACTATTCTTTATTCTTTCTTATTTTGTAAAGTGTAATATTTTCTATCTAGAGTAATTTCTATAGACAAGATTATTACTATGTGTTTTAGTAAATAAAGTTAATCTATATACTGTTATTCTTTTAAATTATTTGCCTGCTACTATATAGTAAAGTAATTATTATACCTTTACTTTATATATTTTTGCATTAGCTAATCTCTATATTAGATAATCTTATATATATATTTTTTTTTTAACTTTTTGGCAGCCTTGCTGATCATCTTTATTAAGATTCTTATATACGCAATTGTACAAAGTTAGCTTAACTTCTGGTTCAACATCCTCTGGCTACTTCTAGGAATGTCCAGAGGCAGTCTGCTACACCGTCCAGTAGTTATTACTGGCCAGAGGGCTGCATCAAGCTAGCCATTAAAGTTTTAGAAAAAGAGCTTCATTCTATTACTAATCTAGTCATAAAACGAACCTAACCAAACTCTTTGAATACTTTAGTTTATCTGGTCGCTATTTGTACCCTCCTCCTTCTCATGTGTTTCTTTACTGCTTGACCCTGTGTTTGGAGTAGCTTCTTTTTTCTTCTTCTTGTCTGCTGCTGAAATTTCAACTAACTTTTCCCAGTTTGTTACCAGCTTGCAACGTTTCTTCTATATGTTTTCAAAAAAACTATTCTATGCTGTTCTGACCAGAGTTGTTATAAATTCTTTGACTTCTTTGAATGACTGTAACAGGTCTTGCAGTGAAACTTTTACTTTTTCTTGTACTAGGCTCTTAATGATCTTGATTCAGCTTTTGATCTTTTCTTCTTCAGTGTTTCCCTACTAAATTCTTCTGAGTTCTTCTTTGTTTGTTTTACTATTGGTCTCTTCTGAAAGTGTGATCCAAGCCAAATTAATTGTCACATCTTCTGTTTCTTCTTAGCTTTTCTTGTAGCATTTACATGCAGCCAGGTAGTTTTGGTTATCATCTACTTCTTTATTGCATGCAATACAATGTGGACTTTTGTATAGTCTTGGTTGTCTTTGTGCAAGCATTTTAAGTACTAGCAATTTTCTATTTACACACTTAATTAGTGTTGCAATTTCTCTGTTTTTCTTGATACTTGTGCATTTTACTCTGCTTTAACTCTTGATTTTGCTTCACAAAAAGAACCAATCGTGTTCTATTTCTTCTATATACGGTTCTGTCTCTTGTACTGAAAAGGTGTATCTCTATTCTGTTCCAGTTTTAAGGCCTAGTATGTCCTTAATGAATTGCCTTGTTGGCACTTCGATGGTTGTTTGTTCTCAACAAAATGATACATTTGTATTTGGAGGTGGCCTATCTATTATACTATTTACATTAACTAAACTACTTTCCTTTTTTGCTAAACTATCCGCTCTATCATTCCACCTATTATCATTATAATCTTTAATTTTAATTAAGTCTAATTCTATTTTCTTCAAATCATATAACTCTTTTATACTTCTTTTAATATCAGCATTCTTCTCTTTAATCTAATTCTTGCTTATTTTAATTTTCTTTGCTTTGGCTAAATCTGCTATTGCTGCTGCACTATCTGTATAGATTTTAACCTTTCTTCTTTTAGGTGCAATCAATAGCACATACCAGATAGCTAAAAGCTTAGCCTTTGTTGATGATGACCAATTACGTGCTCCTACACTTTCTTCATCTATTACTACTTCTTCTTTATTATCAACTTGAACCCAACCTATAACCATATGAGTTGTACTTGGGCCTTCTTCCTGTGCTGACCATCTTAATGAGCTGTCTGTATAGAAAATCAGCTCTGACATGTTTCTCAACTGATTTATCTGATTTCTCTTAATAAGCTCTTCTTTTAAAACTTGGCTCAGTTGTTGTTTTTTAATGAGCTCGATATCTAATTCTTTATATTTGACTTTTTCTACTGCATGTTCTTGGTATGTCAATTTTAGTTTATTAGTTACCTCAACTTCACTTATTATTTCTTTATTTAATTCAAGATAAACTTCTTCTTTTTTTCTAATGAACCTTGACAGTAACCCTTGGATTTCATCTCTTTGACACCATCTTCTGCAGCTTTCATTTTTTCCTAATTGATCGAGACTACAACTTTTGCATTTTTCTAATATTAGGTTGCTCTCGTTTTCTTCTTGTTTTGATTTCTAATGTTCTGTGAGTAGCTTCTGGATTTTTGCTGTTATCACTTTTCTAATTGTTATGCTTCCTGACTCTTTTTTTTTCGTGATTTAAGCACCACCCATTCTCTTTTTCTGTTATTACCTGAACAGTTGTCCAATGGAGTTTGGAGTGCTTCTTTATTTCCTTCTAACAAAACAAACTCTGCTTTGATTGTTCTGTCTTTTTTACTTTCTAGTAATACTTCCTCAACTTTTTTGAACCATTGTGCTAGTCTTCCTTTACTTGATTCACCTCTTAGTAGCTTAAGTTGCTGCCATAAGATCATTTTATCATCTGTTTTGTTGATCAACTAGTTAATCAAGTTTATATTGAGCCTTCTTAATGCTATAGCAACTTGCAAAGTTACTTTATCTTTTAATACCTTTGGAATCTTTTTGCCAATATTATATTGCTTCAAGCTGATGTTGTTGAAAACAAATATCATATGTAGCTCTTTTGCCTTAAGCATTACTTGATATGCTAAATTATTTCTCCACAAGCTACCTACTACTTTTAGCATGTTTTTCCACTATTTTTTATCTGATGCTCCTATAAGTAGCAGGCCTTGGTTTATTCTAATTCTTGTTAAAATTTCTTCTGGGCCTACTGCATTGATTCTTGCATGCAAACTGGTAATTTGTTTTGCCAGAAGTTGATCCTATAATGCATCACAGTTGTCTAAATTTCTGTGTATAATTACACTATTACTAACCGTTTTTGCTATTCCTAGTTTGTGTTTAGCCAAACCTATTATTGGACTTTGAATAATATCAGTTGCTCTTCTGGACAACTTTGATGTTTGCAGCATGTAAGTTAGCTTAGATACTATACACATGTTGTTTATATAAGATACTTGTGAACCTGTTATCTTCTTAGAACTTAAAGTCTTTGCTGTTGAACAGACCAGCTCTTTTGCTCTTGTTTTAACTTGGCTTTTACCAAGTTTGTTACTAAGCCAGATTCTCAAAAATCTTGTTATTTTGGCTTTCCCTTCTGCTTGAACCTATTCATTGCCAAGTTTGATCTTCCTATCTTCTTTGCTTGTAATTGAATTTACTGAACTTTTTTTCATTAATTTGAATATCATTTAGCTCGAAAAAGTCTTCTGCTATTTGGATTGTTTGCTCTATCTGTTTTTACTGCTTGCTATCTATGTTGTGTCATCTGCAAACGCTACTACTGCCTAATGCCATTTAATTGTTTTTGCATAGTTCAGATTATTGTTGTATGGTAGTGATACTGCTATTGTATAACTCAAACTAGCATCTCTCTATATTCTTTCAAGTAGTGGGTCATAGAAAATTCTCTATACCAATGGTGACAAGACTTCTTCTTGTTCGATCCTATTACTTATCTTAAATGCTTCTGTATGACTTTAATGCATTATTATACATGATTGTCTGACTTGAAAAAGATTTAAAATAAGACTTATTGTTACTTTTGGCAGCTTAATTCTTTTCATTGCCATTTTTAATGCTTCTAATGATACTGAGTCAAATGCCTTTTTCATATCTTGCAGCACTAGCCACAGCTTTTTGTTGCTTTCTTTTGCATCTTCTATAATTGTGTTAACAATGTGTACTGGTTCTTCTGTTGAATTTCCAGGCAAGCCTGCAAAATTAAACCTTTTTAGGATTTTCTTATCACATAACACCTGGGCCAACCTTTTAGTTAGGATTTTTGTCATACATTTACGAAAAGTCTCTAACAGGGCGATTGGCCTAACATTTTCCAAATTGTACTGCCAGTCTTCTTCTTTAGGTATTGGGTATATTTGTAAAATTTTCTATTTCTTTAGAATTCTTCCTGTACAAATACATATTTCTGCTAGTGTTCAAAAGATTTCTTATATGTTGGTATTACCTGCCTGAATTAGGCTGTATATAATACCAGAAATTCCTGGAGCTGTATTTTTTTTGAGGCCTGCTAGCATTTCACTCCATTCTTTCTCTGTTATGCTTTGGTCCAGACACTGGTATTATTCTTCTTTAATTTCTCTCTTAGGTTTGTAGCTTTTTGCTCATCTTTCCTCCAGGATGTTTTGGTTAAAATGTCTTAATCTGAACTGATTCTGGTAGTGTTTTTTGGTTTCATCAAGCACTTCTTCTGCTTCGATAAGCAGTTTCCTTTCATCATTTCCTTTCTTGATTAATCGATCTATCTTAATTTTTTTTGTTGACTTGCTGATAAGACTAATCAGCATCTTTCCTTGTTTGTCATCTATTATTTGATATCTTTTCTCTATGCTGTCTTCTATTTCTTTCTTCTTTTTTATTTCCAATTCACTTGCTCTTCTTGCACGTAATATTCTCTACTAACCTTTTAGATCATCGATTAACTCTTGAGACCATACCTGCGCTAGATCTATATAGGTCACATGTTGCTGATTTATGTATCTAATCTCCTCATTCAGCTCATTTATAAAGTTATTTACTAGACTCAACTGGATGTTCTTTCTTCCTATACAAATCTATCTTCCAAGTTGGGTTAGTGTTTTTCCCAAAAAAACTTCTTTGGTGTTTTTCTGTTTAGTTGCTACTGAATTTATAATTTTTTTTTTGAAAATGTTTCTTCTTGCTGACTCAATAATGCTGTTGCAGATTGTATCCAACTATTCATCCAAATAGTTGTTTACTCCTGCTTCCTTTCTGGTATAAAAAAACTGTTAGAGATCTTGTATACTAATTTTCTTTTCTAGCATTTTTTTAAGGTCTTGTCTATAGTTTTCCCAATTTTTTTTTCCTGCTTCATTATAAAGAAAAACTGTTCTCTTTTGTTTCTCTTTTCTTATTTCTGCTACACTATAAGGTTTAACTAGGTGATCTAATTCTATTTTTGCTAAGACTGCATCATGATCACTACTTGTGCATACATCTATTTTCTGTATTTCTGATTCATAGAGACCATTGGTTAGCTCTTCTGATAACTATATATAGTCAATTTTTGACTCTGATCACCAACCTGACTATAAGTATTCACGTGCTTCTGGATTAACTACCCTGAAAGCATCTTTAAATTCTTGTCTTTCTAGCCATCCTATAAAGGGGTCAGATTTTGAATACTTTTTTTTTTCTAAATTTTATTTGTCTGTCTAGGTCCATGTCTGCTATGCTATTAAAATCTCCTATTATAACTAACTGAGTTCTTGAGAATCTTTTAATGTATTTGTCAATTATCGCTTTTTGAACCTCTTTTCTGCTTTCTTTGTCATTTGGTGGCAAGTATACTATAATGATTATGATTTTTAGCTGCTTAAACATAAAGATTGCTGAAATCATATATTCATTAGTTCTTTCTATTCTTTCTAAATGCTTTTTCCACAGTTGCTAATTAGAAAATCTACGCTTAAGCCTTTCTTCTTTTCTGCCTTAGTATTGGCTTAGAATCTCTTGTAGTTTTCTATGTTCTTTGCTAAGAAAAAACCTTTCTTGCCTAAAATGTTTGTTTTGGCAAGACCTAATACATCTATCTTATTGTCTATTAGCCAGTCTTAAAGTTGTTCTATTTTTTGACTATTTGCCTTTAGAACATTAATGTTATGTATTGCTACACTTAGCTCTATTTTTTGGTTTTCATAAATTCTTTCTCTCTTTATCTTGTTGTTATGTATATACTGACTTTTCAATATTTCATTTGCTATTCATCACAAAAAAACACTCTCTCCGCTGATCCTTTTTACCAAAATCAGCAAAAACAAAAATCTCACAGAAACTGAATTTTAGTATAAGAAACTTACTTCGCACGATTAATAAAAAAGTTGCAACCAAGGAAATTATCTAAAGTTACTTAAAACAACTTTGTTTAGGAAAGCTTAGGCAGGTCAACTTTAATCTACGAAGGGAAAAATTTTGATGAAAATTTTGGAAAACTGGAAATTGGCCTTGACCCTGAAAATTTGGAAGATCAGAATACGTGACTAAACAACAACAATAACAACAACATAAACAAAATAAACAAACAAGTCGTGTGCCTGTTTGGGAATTAAACCAATAACAAATTAGCAAGGGCAATACAAACACATAAACAAAACAAGCCAAACAGTTACAAATTACGTGTACAATAGAATTTTCCAGATGCAAGAATTACACAAGCAGAGTTTATTAAGTTATGTGCATGGAACAGAAGAGAAAATTCTCCAGTATTTGAGTAGTAGTATTCTAGTTAAAACACTAGAAAATGTAATTCCTCGTGAGCCAAATAATGTTGAGCAGATTGCGATTGGTCTAGCAGTTAGCAATCCAGAAAGAATTACCAAAGAAGAAATAATTATATGTATTCAAATTGCTGAAGTGCTTAAACAATATGAGTCCAAGAAGACTCTTATAGAAGAATAGGCAGCTAAAGCAAGAATGTCACAACAAAACCTAGGATCAATCGAGTATTTAACAAGTATTGGCAAAATGAAGGCAGATGAAGAAAATAAAATGGAAGGTATCATAAATAGAAATACAGATGCAGAGCTGCAAGTTACAGAGGCAAAAAAGAGAAGGCAAGAAGAGTCATCACTCAAAAGTAAAGAGAAGGAGCAGCAGACAGCTTTCATACATGCAAAAGTCTCAAATGCAGAAGCAGGTTTAAGTAAGCAAGACCCAAGTATAGAAGATCCAAACTGGGACGAAGTTGAAAATGAGAACATCGAATCAGAATCCAAGAGAAAAAAACTAAAAAAAAGCCAAGAGTCCTCCGACGAAGAAATATGCACAACCCCTAGCAACATACAGAAGGAAATCCCAAACATTGTTCAGCCTAAAGTATTATTGGAGAATAGTGTTTGGGCTTCTAAAAACAGACCTTGTGATAGAAAAAACTCATTCAAGGCAAAAATCTTCTTATGTAAGGTGCCTGAAGACAATAAAGAATATAGAGTCAATTATATGAAATGGGTTTTTAGAGGCAATGATCACATCAAGTCTGTCGAAGAAGATTTTATTAATGGAAACAGTTGGATAGTAATTGATTTCGATTGCGAATTCAGTAGAGAAACTTTAAGTAAGTGGGTAATAGAAAAAGAAGGAGAGTGATGCAAACTCATTCCAGAAGAGGACAGAAATAGAAGAAGAATACAGGTTTATAGGTTGCCAAAAGAACACAAGTCTGAAAAATTTAAGTCGGAAACAGATAGAAGAACTGCACTTAAATCACAAGAAGACAAATTCCAACAATTTCTAACAGAGAAATCGAAGACATCTAATTCATATATTAAGGGAAAAAGAAGAGAAGAGGACTCAAACTATGTAACTATTTGGGACTTACTTACGAACATTAAGCACAAAGAAATTTATAACATGTGCAGAAAATTTAAAGAGGTGCAAATAGTTAAAATCAAGAAAACACGTTTCAAAGCATTAGCAGTAATAGAAACTACAAGCAAATGGCACAAAAACATGCCATGGGTTCTGCCCTATAGCAATGATAAATTAGCACGCATAACTCCAGAAGATGAAGATTCAGAGCTGAAAGAAGAGAACAGCTGATTTAAGGCAAAACTCAAAGAAGTGTCAAAAGAAGCTTCAGAAGTGTTATTGCTGCGATTGCTTAGAAACAAAGGGGCAAAGTCAGTTTTCGTACTGATGAATAGAAATGGAAACCTAAGAGAATATGCAATAATTACATTCAAGAGCCAAGAAGAGCTCGAAAGAGCAAGATCCAAACCATTTAGCTACAACAATCATACACTGTTCTGGGATGGATATGAACCAAGAGAAAGGGTAGCGAAAGAAGAGAAAGAAAAGGTCACTCAACTGGAAGAAGATAATGTAGAAGACATTATCCAAGAAATGGACTATGAATACCAAAATAAAGACAAAAATAAGACTCAGAAAAGGAAACAAAAGAAAAAAGTCAATATAGAATGAGTAGTTAACAAGAAATCTGTATTAGATGAGATACTTCTAAGAATTCTGAATAGATTGGATAAGTTGGAAGTACAGCAAGGAATTAGATTTGCAAGCTATAGGTTTGCAAATCACTTCTAAAAGGGGCCAAAGTTGAGCTAACAACAATAAATATAGAGATAGGCTCCTCTTCGCAAAAAGAAAAAAAGAATGCAGATCAATTACAAGAAGAATCTCTATATTTATACAAAAAAATTAAAGATGAAAAGGAGCCAATAAGAACCCTTAACAAAAAGGGTAAACAAGCAGTAATTGCAAATGAAATATCGAAAAGTCAGCATATACATAACAACAAGATAAAGAGAGGAAGAATTTATGAAAACCAAAGAATAGAGCTAAGTGTGGCAATACACAACATCAATGGTCTAAAAGCAAATGGCCAAAAAATGGAACAACTTCAGGACTGGCTAACAGACAATAAGATAGATGTACTAGGTCTGGCTGAAACAAACATTTCAGGCAAAGAAGGCTTTTTCCTAACTAAAAATATAGAGAACTACAAGAGCTTTTGGACCAATGCTAAAACAGAAAAGAAGAAGGGCTTAGGTGTAGGCCTACTAATCAGCAAACATTGGGAGAAGCATTTGGGAAGAATAGAAAGAACTAATGAATATATGATTTCAGCAATTTTTATGTTTAAGCAGTTAGAAATCATAACTATTATGGTATACCTGCCACCAAATGATAAAGAAAGCAGAAAAGAGGTCCATAAAGTGATAATTGACAAATACATTAAAAGACGCCCAAGAACTCAGTTGGTCATAATGGGGGACTTTAACAGTGTAGCAGACATCAACTTAGACAGACAAACAGAACCTAAGAAAAAGAAATATTCTAAACTTGATCCCTTTATAGGATGGCTAGAAAGACAAGAATTCAAAGATGCTTTCAGAGTAGTTAATCCAGAAGCATGAGAAT